TGGAAGCAATTACTTAATCCAAAACCAGATTTGGGGATTCTTGTGGGGCAATCAGTGGTGAGGGAAGCTTAGATCTCAATCTCAGAGACAGCCAATGGCAGGCTGAAATCACATCACAGGATCTTGGGATGCCAAAGGGAAAAAAGGATTGGGTGCTGGAACCTGTGAGCAGCCAATGAGGAGGCTGAGGTCCCATCGTTGGAATGTTGGGGGCAGCCAATGAAAAGAGATTGGTGTCTGCTTTGACCCCAGTGCCCACTGAGTTGGGAGGTGTCAGTGGCACTTGAAAGGGGAGAGAGGCTCAGGGGCCTCCCCCTCTTGTCCCCTCCCCCCAGACATGACCACACCCCTGGGCCTTAGCCGCCAGCACCTCAGCTACTTACAAGAGATTGGGAGTGGCTGGTTTGGGAAGGTGAGTGGGGCTGGAGTGGGAGGCAGGGGTGTCATACAGTCTGGGGCTGTGCTGCTGTTCTATGTCCATACCCCCTGCTCCCACCACTTCTCATCTGCCCCCCACGTCCTCCCCCTGCCCCCTCAGCCCACCCATCACCTTCACCTCTGTCCACTTCTCACCCACTCCCACCCACCTCCATCCCCCCACATCTGTCGGTCAGCGCCTCCCTCCTCACTCCATTGATCACTCCGCCGCCACCTGGCTCTCCTCGCGTCCGTCTGTCCATCCTTCCATCCGTCCCTGCATCCACCGGACTCTGGGCCCGTGAGTCTCTCAGCCAGCATCTGGTGGGGGGATGAGGGTGGTGGGACGTGGAGAGGCTGGAAAGAAGGGGGAAGTCAAGAGCCTGCGGTGGGATGGAGGTGGTCCCAGGGGAGGGGGCTGGGGAAACCGCACAGGCTGACGGCTGGGTCCTCTGGACCAGGTGATCCTGGGGGAGATTTTCTCCGACTACACACCAGCCCAGGTGGTGGTAAAGGAGCTCCGTGCCAGCGCAGGGCCCCTGGAGCAGCGCAAGTTCATCTCGGAAGCACAGCCGTACAGGTATGGTGGATGAGGGCCCTGGAGGCCCCAATATCCAGGTTTGTGCCTCATGAAAGTAACATTTGGGAGTGGTGGTGGGGGGAGTATAGTATGAGGTCAAAGGTGGGTTCGAATCCTGAATCTATTTCTTCCCGGCTGTGCCACTCAGTAAAGAGAATTTCCCTCTCTGAGCCTTGGGTTCTTCTCTCTTGGGACAGAGCCAGGGATGTGAAATGAGAGGCAGGATGAAGAGGGAAGGTGGGGAGAGGGCACAGAAGCAGAGCTAGAGGCCTGCCTTCTCTACTCTGAACCTCAGTATCTTCAACTGGAAAGGAAGTCCAGGAAGCCTGAGGGTTCTCATGTAGAGGACAGCTGAGAGGATGTGAGATTATTGTGTTTAGCACTGGGTACATCCTCAGGTTCCTGCTTTGTGGATGAGGAAGGGTGGAGTCAATCACAGGCCAGTGCCCTGAGTCGGCACCCAAAATACCCAGAGCAGCTCTGTCACCTCTCCCCTGCCCCCACTCGACTGGGAGGCCTGGGAAGGCAGGACCCTGTTCCTCCCCTGCTTGGTCTCCCTTCCACTTTAATATTTACTAGATAAGTGCCTTGTGAGGTAGTAAGTTCCCTGTCATGGAAAAGATGTGTATACAGAGAGTTTAAAAGTGGGGTTTAGTGGGCCGGCCGAGTGGCTCAGTTGGTGAAGAGCTCGCTCAAGAGTTTGAGCTCTGAGCAACAGCGGTTCGATTCCCAGCCCAAGCTGAGCAGCCGCTGGGCTGCCAACTGGTGGCAGGATGGCTCAGCTTAAAAAAAAAAAGTGTAAAAGTGGGGTTTACCCCAAGACCCAGACATTGGACTTTATCACTCCCTTGCTCTAAAACCTCCCATGTCTCCCTGTTGCCCACAGGACAAATTCCCACTCCTCTGTACAGCCCACAGGCCCGGAATGGCCTGACCCTGTTCCCTTCCTGCCTCTGGAGCCCTGCTCCAGCCACCCTGGCCTCCTGATCCTCCCACATATCAGCCCCTTTCCTGTCTCGGGATCCAGGCTTGTCCTTGCTGTTCCCTCTATCTAGAATATCACTCCTGGCTCACCCACCTCCATCTTTGGATGGGGTGCTCCCTTCCCCTTCTCAGATCTCAGCTCAGAGGCCTTCCCTTACACACACACATACACACCCCTAAGGTGGGCCCTAGGATCGATCCCCCATCGTATCAATCACATCAATTCATGTATTTTCTTCATAACGCGTATCCTAGTTTGTCATTTTTTCATTTGCTTAGTTGACTATTTGCCTGTCTCTCCCTAGACCCATACTGGCAACCACTAGCCACATTTTAAATTTATGTGAAATAACATGAAATCAAATTAAAAATTCATTTCCTCAGCTACCCTCGCCACATTTCAAATGCTCAGTGGTCACATATGGCCAGTGACTCCCATGTTAGACAGCTCGAATCTAGAGCAGTTCTACCTTCACAGAAAGTTCTGTTGGAGAGTGCAGAACTACACTGGTGGCTCAGGGTCCTTCTTGTCACCCAAGCACATATGTCATCGGCCCTCAGTAGACTGAGTGAACCAGAGACTTGAGATCAAATCCCAACTCTGCTACCATTCCTAGCTGTGTGACCCTGGCAAGTCACTTTGCCTCTCTGAGCCTCCATTTCCTCTGGATCAAATGGGAAACTTCATCCTGCCTTGCAGGCTTGTTGGGAGGATTTGGTAACAGAAGTGGCTGGCCTTGGCTTAGAATAGTAGGTGTGCAGTGCTTCCTTCTACATCTGCCATCCTAAATCTCCTGCACTGGGGGCTCCAGCCATTTTTCAAGGCCCAGCACATGTCGGATCCTTAGTAGAAGCAGGAGCAGGAGGCACTATTCTCCCAGATGGAGAAGGTTGACGTGCAGGTGGTGGATGGCTGGGACCAGAGCACTGGCCCTGCCGTGCACGAGCAGCCCCTGCCTTCCTCCAGGCCCCAGAAGGAAAATAACTTACTGAGCCTCTACCCTGAGCCAGGCTCTGAGCTACAAGCCCAGAGTGTTTTAATCTTCCCACAGACCCCCAGGCCATGTAGCAAGGTAAAATCCTTCATTCCGCACATTTTTATTGAACATCTACTGGTCTAAGGCACTGGGGACACAGCTATGTGAACAAAATCCCCAAAATCCTTGTTCCAGTGGGGCTCACTGCCCAGTGAGAGGAGGGGGCATCCCCTAGTGTTGGGGGACAGGGACATTTCTTGGGGAAATGATAGTGAAGCTGAGGCCTGAGGGAGGAGGAGGACTGATGAGGGGAGGGGGTAATCCGCAGAGAGAACTGTAGCTGCAAAGGCGCCTAAGCAGGCAACTGAGTATTTGGGAAGACATACACCAGGGTGAGAGGTGATGTTGGGGATGGCAGCGGAGCCAGCCACGGGGCTCCGAAAACCAAGGAGCAAGCCAGGCCCTGTCCTGGGAATGCTGGAGGCCATGGAGGGCTGTGAGCAAGAGAGAGGCAGATCAGGGCCAAACTGAAAGGGAGAGACTGGAGGCAGGAAGGCAGGGAGGAGGCTGAAAAGATAGGCCAGGATGTGAAGAGGATGTTTGAGCTGGGGCTGTGGGGAGAGGAGGGGATGAAGAAGGAAGGTTTGGAGGGGGGGGGGGGCAAGGAGGCATCTGGGGGATCTGGCCCTGGAGCTGGGGTTCGGTGGGACAGTCCTGAGCCTGGGCGTGGGGAAGGGGTGTGTGTGTGTGTGTGTGTGTGTGTGTGTGTGTGTGTGTGTG